ACGCCTGCAGGATGAGAAGAGGAAGGACCTGGGGGAGGGGACAGGGCCCTTGCATCCAGTTCTGGAGAAGCTCGAGAGGTGTTCTCTCGTGGGGCTGCCCCTGTTTGCTTTCTGTTAGGTTTGGCCTGTCTTGGGTGAAGTTGAGGAAAGCAGCAGCCAGAGCTGCCTTTCTCAGATGGACCACTAGTCACACATGGCTATTTAGATGTAAATTAAGTCAGATGAAAAATCCACATCCTCAGCTGCAGTAACACATTTCAGGTGCTCACTAGCCCCAAGCACAGAACATGTCCATCCCCATGGCAAGTTGTGTCGGCTGCACCCTGCTGGAGAGCACGTGGCTTTCCTCTCCTCTCCCTGCGGCCGACCTGCTACCTGTGCACCCCTCAGCTGTCTGTGCTCAGGACCTGCTCAGTGAACCCAGACCTGCACAAGCCAGCTTTGCTCTGGGAGCTCACTGCCTTGGGTGAGGCAGATGGGAAGAGGCATCAGGGGTTTGGAAGCCTGACTAACTCGATCTTCTTTTTTTTTTTTTTTAAGGAACCTATATTCATCATTAAAATTAGAAAATGCACACCAGCAAAAACAATATAAAAATCACAGTCTCGTCATCTAAAATGCAGTTGACTTCTTCCTGTTTATTTTTTTAATTTATATGATGAGCACGTTCTTATAAAGAACAAACAAGCCTCAAGCAGTCTAAAAGTATCTGTAGTAGAAAGTGGAGTGTTCTCACGCTGGCGCATCCTGCTCTCCTGGGTGGGAAAAGCTGTGGGCATTGGCATGTGACCTTTTAGACCTTTTCATGTATTTGGTGCATATATGGGCCAGACATTCACATGGAGGTGGGGTCATGTCTTTGTCTCTGCACCAGCCATCTGTCGTGGGGATCTTTCCTTATCAGCGCATACACATCTTCCTCGTTCTTAGTGAGTGGACAGTGTCTCACGTGGGACCATGTCTTACTGCCAGAGGTCCTGCAGTGAGCATGCGCTGTGGATTCCTGTGTGTGTTTCATGGTCTCCCATCAGAGGGTCCTGGAAGTGATAAATTATCAGCTTACCCCGGAGTAGGCCAGGGCTTGGTCTTTGTGCAGAGTCAAATTTGTCATATTTCTGCCATGTGCAGTTGTCATTTGCTTTTTAATTTGTTTACACTCAGCATGTTTTTGGATAAAGTTCTTCAGTCTTTGTGTTGTGATTGTCATTTTATATTGGAGTCTGGAAAAGCCTCCTCAAAGTCCAAAATAGTGGATCGTTTCCTGTGGTTTTTAGCTTCTCTTTGATTTTTTTCACCTGAAAAATTCAACTCTGCATCTGTATTGTATTTTCAAGTGTAGAACAAGGTAGGAGTCTCACACTGTGTTCTTCAGTTTCCTGCATCAGGATTTGGTTTGGCTACAGAGAACAGAAGTAATGGAGCATTGGTGGTCCAGTCTAGATGATGGGCTTATCCCTCTTTCTTGCCTACCTTCCTTGCTCCACACTGGGGGCCTTTCTCAGGGTCATGTGGGCCTCTCTTCCCTTAAGAAACCTTCTGAGAAAATATGTTGCCAGCACCCGCCAGGGCTCGTTGGCCACCTGAGGCTGGGGGAGGAGCCCCTCAGCATCCTGGTGGACAGCCAGCTTCTGCCACATGAAGCCGTGTCCCAGGGCCTCCCATTAAATAATCGTTTCCTGCTGGTTTTGAGGTGCCACCTCTGTGATCTGTTGTAGAGATTTTTCTGTGATGGTCACAGCATAGAAATTGTCATGGAAGATTTGGAGACCGACTGCTGGTGGGCTGACATTGAGCTCTATGAGGTAGCAGCTAATTGTGGAGAAGCCGACTTCAGTGTGGTTTTATGTAGATCTCCTGTCAGCTGTGAAATGCCTTTGAGGTTTTGATATGTAAGAAGAGTGAGCTTCCTTGTGTTTGTTTCTGAGCAGTAATGATCGTGTAGACATAAATGATTATGGACATAACTATGAACCGCTTTGGAGAATTGAACATGTGGGTGTATTCAGGATTGGAAGTCATAGACTCATAAAATGACCTATGTTGTAGCTGATGCCTGCAGTTTGGCATGTGGTTGATAGCGCTTAATTGTGAAAGTATGTTGTCGGAAACATAAAATGCAGCTTCTTAAAGTGATGAGAACTACATGTAACATTTGTGTTGAGTAAAATAATGCAAACTGTTTAGCACCGTTTGGGATGTGAAGTTGGAATGTATTTTACGGGGAATGTAGATCTTAAATGACAGGCTCATAAGTGAAATATTTATTTAACCAAAACGTGCTTTGATACATCCATTCACATTGGTCAGATGCTGTCCATGAGCAAGCACTGTTCTGGTGCTGGGATCAAGCAGTGAGCCGTGAGCCCCGCACCGTGCTCGGGAAGGGTGTGGGGGGCAGGGGTGCTGCCTCCCCTGTCCGGTGTGGGTTCTGTTGAATTGCTCTGATTCCGCTGTTCTTCCCAGGGTGGCCAGCCGTCCCCCTCCCTGCTCGAGCCCGCTGCCCCTCACCCAGTCCTTGGTGCTTCCTCACTTATTAGAGAGTTCCCTGAGGAGCCCACTGAGTAGGAGCAGGCAGCTGAGGGGGCTCTTGGGGTTCGCCCAGATGTCACGATGTTTAGACCTTCCTGTGTCTTTCTGGGCTGATGGTGCCCTCACACCCCAGAGCGCCGTGGTCTTGGGGCAGCTCCTGGAGTCACGCAGTGCCTCGTCGAACTTTGCTCGCCTCGAGGAAGGGCCAGCAGGGGGGCTTCTTGTCCAGCCAGTCGGCCAGGAGTGCCCCTTCTAGTCCCAGAAGGTAAAGCAAAAATACGCTTCCTATCTAATATTTGTTACAGCAGGTCACTTTTAGGCCTGATTTAATACACATTTCAGATAGGTGTGTTGTTAGCACATCTTATTGGCGGAACGGGACACTTGAAAGCAGGAGGCCTGTGTGTTCCACTTGGCACCATTTCCTGCTCTGGGGATGTGGGCATGCCTCGACCTCGTTGTTCATCTCTCCTGAAATATGGGCAGGGGAGAAATGCTCGGCAGCCCCTCCTTGTGTCCCAAGCCAGTCAACAGACATCAGATAAAACTGACACTGTGTCCCACTGGTGGGGTTGTGTCTGCAGACTGACAGCAAGCCCCCCCCTTCATGTTCCTTCCTTTCCTGGTGTGTTGAGGGTGACTGAGCTCAGGAGTCCTGCCTGGGAGGCTGGGGGGGTGGGTGGGCAGCTTAAAAGTAAGTTGATGGTACTTCTATTCTGCAGGTGCTGACCTGCAGTGACAGTTGGGCAAATTGGTATGCCCTGTTTACAAGTTGTTTTAATGTATTAAATTTGTGGGTTGTGGATAGAATTTTAGCATGCTAGCTTTGGTATTCTTTGATGACTTTGGGCCGATTGTTTAATTAATTAGGCCTATATCTTTGGTATTTTGCTTCTAAACTTTATACTTCTGTTGCCAGAACAGTACTAAGAGTTGTAGGAGAGCGTGCGCTCCTTGCGCTCCCCATAAACCAACTTCTCACCTAAGGCGATGGCTGTTCAGCATCACAGACTCTTCTCTGGAGGAGCCCCTTCTGCCTTCCAGACAGTTCTCCACCGTGACAGTGACTGACACGGGAGACCCCTAAGATGTCCTTGCTAACAGGGAGGGTCGCCTGTGGCTCTTCCCTGGTGTGGGCACTAACCCGCTAACCTGATGTATTGAGTCCTGCTAACAATGTGGCCAGTCGATGGCAAATTTTAGGTAATGTCACAAACGTAAACAGGCTTGCTGAGCTGCCGGCAGGGCCATGGTTCCATGCTTTATGGTGTCGTTGGTGCTTACTAACTGTTGAAGTGATGGAAGCTTTACTCCCCAAACCTTGGAGAGGTTTTGGAAAAATTGCGGCATTTTAATGTTGTATGACTTAAAACCTTTTTGGATTTATAAAAATTGGACTCGTGGCTGGCTGAATCACCATCATGGTTGAGTGAGATTTTCTTTTCTGGATTTTCTAAAAAATTAAACATGATAAACTTAATTTTAAGTTCCAATGATAGCCTGATTGTATTGCACATGTACCAAGAACAAGTGTGTTGAGGATTGATTTCCTCCTAGAGTCCCATGCGTGCTTTCAGTGGCCTCCAGGCGCCTTCTGACCTGCTGCAGAGTGTTAGGAATGGTCACTCCATGTGATTTTTGGGGGTGCGGCAGCACTTCAGGTGAGACAGAGAAGGGCCGATAGAATATGTGAGGTGATTTCATGCCCCTTGCCTTTGACACTGGACACTAATCGGTCCTGTTGAGAAGTCTTCCGTTCTGGTATGTGGACTATTTTGATAGCTATTGAGCTAACATTATGTTATTATTGAGCAAATTTTATTTTGTCTTTGTTTTATTAATCAAACTTTAGAGTGGAAGCAGGTGAATTTGATTTGTTTTAATTCCCAGGATTAGATTACTTGGCCCCCTAGAATTCATCCTTCAGACTGACCAAGGATGACGGTCTTTCTTTCCCCAGAAGGAGTCTTTGGTGTAGGTCCTTGGCCCTGAAAGTGACCTCCCCAAGCCCTGGCCCACCCCAGGCCGGGCTTTTTCGCCCAGGGTGGGCAGAAGTTCCGAGAGGTGGCTCCTGAGGTGGCGCTCGGAGCTCCCTCTTCTGCTGGGAACGCTACAGTTTTATCTCTGTTAGGAGGGCTGGACACATTGCGCCCTATCCACGTTGGCTCGGGGACCTCCTGGGTGGCTGGCGCCTTCAGGGGAGGACAGCTGAGTGGCCTCCAGGGATGGGCTTCCCTCGGCCTCCTAGCGCTGGCCCCACAGTGACTGTCGTGGACGCGGCCTTCAGTGCCCAGAGGAAGTGTCCGACCTCGTGCTGGCGGGATTGGCCCCGCGGTCTGGGCCACGGCAGCGAGCCGCGACGTCTGCTACAGGGCTTCCATTTTACCCCGTGCTCGCGGAGGAGAGAAGAGCGCAGAGCGCAGGCTCGACTACAGCGGTAACTCGAGTGTGTTTTCTCTTTTGTCCACCAGACTTCATGAGGAAATCATTGACTTTTATAACTTCATGTCCCCTTGTCCTGAAGAAGCAGCCATGCGACGGGAGGTGGTGAAGCGAATCGAAACCGTGGTTAAAGACCTTTGGCCAGCGGCTGACGTGGGTTCACTCTTTACTGTACTTGTGTCACTCCAGGGACGGCGAGTGCCCGGGGTCGTAGTGGCCCTGGCCCTGCCCCTGCCCCCCCCCCCCAACACACACCGGGCCTGGCCCTTGTGGCACCGAGGCAGGGCTTCTGCAGGCGTGGCCCCAGGGAGGGCGTGGGGGCGGCACCTGGGAGTTTGTGAGACCTGCACTTTCCCAGGCCCTGCCCCGCACCTTCCGGAGCAGCGCCTCTGGGGTGGGGCCCGTGCCCCGTGCTTCACATGCCTGCCGGGTGAGTGTGGGGACCAGGGGCCAAAGGAAATTTGTTTCTGGAGTAGTATGATTATTGTTCTTCTTTTCAACTCACCTTGAGGTTGGAAATCCTACCCCTTGCCCTCATTACACAACACGCAGCATATATTCCTTTTTGTGGAACTGGAAAGAATTTACTCACCTAGCACTTTTACCATGCACGAATGTGTGTTCCTTGAGATGGGGGCCATGGGCACTTGGGGTGCTTGGCATAGGCAGTGACATATGTCCTGTGACCAAGTTGATGACGGCCCAAGGGCGCCTATCCTGACCAGTCAACCTCCCCCTACTGGTGATGGTGACTGGAGACCACCCAGTGATGGTTGGATGAGCTGGGCTGGGGAAGGCATGAGTGCTCCCAGGGGACAGGGGCAGCCCCTCCATTCCCTTCCTCTTCTGTGAGGACATTCCACATTTTTGTCTTTAAACGTGAGTGCCCTGGGGCAAAGCCACACCTCTGAGCCTTGGCTACAGGTTTGAAAATTGTCAGCTTTGAGCAGTTGTGGGAAAGGCCAGTAATTGTCTCATCTCTTAATTCGAGTTGTTAAACATTCTTTTTTGGGGTAGGTCTTTAACATAAAGGTGAAGAGGATTTTGTTTGATGGTGCTTTGCTGCACCCCTGGCCCCCGCCCTGTGCCCCAACTTGCAGGGAAGGTCTGTTTTGCCCCAGAGTGGGAGTGAGGCCTTTCAGTGAGCAGCGGGGGAAGGCAGACTGTTTGAATTGTCCCTTGTTGTGAGACAGCCACTCTTCTCTTCCAGGTACAGATATTTGGCAGCTTTAGTACAGGCCTTTATCTCCCAACCAGGTGAGTACCAGATCTGAACCACTCAGGTTAGTGCTGACGCATGTTTAGTTGGGGTGGGCTGTGTCTGCATGCGTATTAAAGGTTAAAAGTAGAATTCTCAGGCTAGAAATGTAAGCTAAAGGAAAAGACTGTGGAGTACAGAGGGAAAATTGCAGGAAACAAAATTTAATCTAGTATTAGGATAATTGATTGTATTTTTCCTCTTGCACTTTGTTTGGTATGTTACAAAAATGCTGGATACCAGAAACATAAAGACCAGTGGGAGGGTCATGGGAAGAAAATGTGGTAGAAGATATTCTGAAAGTTTTGGATATGTTTTTGAAAATTGATTTTCTGTTTTAATGAAGATTCATGCAAAATTCTATTTAAACAGTATTTTATAAGTATTTTGTATTTTTTAATTGAAAAATGTCCAATAAGTTTGCATCGTAAAATTGTTCTCCAGTGTTTCCTCATCAGGAACTATCTCGGTACCCAAATCAGTTTTACATGCATTGCTTCCTTAAGAGCTTACTCTCTCCTGACCCACTGTTAACATTTGGACTGTGAAGAGGCTGTGCTCTCAGAATTTGGGGTTGGCATTGGCAGGGCCAGGAGGGAATTGCCCAGATTCCAGGTGCTGGGAAGCCCAGGTCAGCAAGAGCCCGGCAGGGTAGACGCACAGGAGGAAGAGCCAGGAAGCCTCAGGGGGCGGGCATTTTCGTTTCAACCTCCTCGGTTACTGGGGATGCTGTAACCCGACATCCTTGTGTTATGATAGCTCATAAAGTGCATCTTCCCTCCCTCAGAGGGTTCGGCTTCATGGGGGTGTGTGTGTGGCCCTGGAAGGAGATGGGAGTGTGCACGCTATGGCACTGGTCTGCCCCAGGTGCTTGTGTTCCTGGAGAGTGATGTAAACCAGGCTTTCATGCTCACTTGTTCTTCTGTCCAGTGACATCGACTTAGTGGTCTTTGGAAAGTGGGAGCGTCCTCCTCTGCAGCTTTTGGAGCAAGCTCTGCGGAAGCACAATGTGGCCGAGCCGTGCTCCATCAAAGTCCTTGACAAAGCTACAGTAAGTGTGGGGCCCCTGCGGAGGCTTTCGCACCCTCCACAGCCGTTGTGATTCCCCTGTAGCTTTAGCTTAGGCTGTTGACAGGGGTTACAACTTACACTTTGGAAGACTCCTCTCCTTCTGATATAAATGTACTTGTCTTTATTTAGAATATTAGAATTACCAGCTGAGAACCTATTTCATGACAATCCGAAGGACTGCCGGTTGTGAGAGCATCACGCTGCACTTGGCACTAAAATATGATCGGTCAGCTTTCGTTAGGACGTAAGAAAAGGACGCATTCAGGTGCTGCCCGTTCAGGCGCACGTAGTTGATGATGAAAGCATGGTATCTGCACAGGAAGTGATTACCATTTGCCAAGTTATATTTAAGAAACAAAACTCGCCTATTCCTTTCATTGTTCAAAATTGTATCCATATAAAGACCTTTGACCATGGGGAGAAGTTGGAAGAGGAGGGTGCTTTGATGTGTGCTCATCAGGGTTTACCTGAGTCCAAGATTAGAGATGGCTCAGGAACTGAAGTCACCTGCCCGCTGTGTGGTCGTGATTAGAGCCCCTGAGCCATTTGTCCCGTGGTGTTGGCTCCTTGATGAGAATGAGGCGGTGGCAGTGCCGGTGACCAGGTATCCTGGTTTAGATGTAGAGAGGAGCTGGAGAGGCCAGGTCTGGTTGTCCTGGGCTCCAGAGCATTCTGGGGGACCGACCGTGTCAGTAGTAACTGCTTTCACACATGGTCTCCTCTGCTGCTAGGGGTCCAGCATAGACTTAAGGGGAACTGAGCCCCACGGGTCTTCCACTGTCCCTTTCTGTCATCGCGAGCTCGTGCCGGGCAGCCCCACCATCATCTCATCTAGGGCCCTGGGGCCCAGCGGGAGGGCTGTGTTTAAGAAGAAAGCTTGTGTATATTGAACAACCACCGAAAAATAAGTATTTTGGTGCTGTTACTAATCTCTAGGATCTGGGGTTCAACCTGTGAGTGTATAGGAAGGTGTGTGTGTGTGTGTGTGTGGCAGGTTCAACCTGTGAGTGTATAGGAAAGTGTGTGTGTGTGTGTGTGTGTGTGTGGCAGGCGAGCACCAGGAGTTGTTTTGGGAAAGCATTCTATGAGTGTAGAGAGGAAGGTGCTTCATAGCCATGCCCAGTGGTGATGGGGAGCAGGAATTCTTCATGAGGGAGATAGTATATTATAGAGGCATGGGCTCCTTCTGAAATAGTTTGTGGTAAGTTCTTTGGGAAAGCCTTTTGTTTTCTGCCTTCCTGGACCACACTGGCTGGTGGCTCACTGTGCCTGGCAGTCCTGGCGGTTTTGATGATCTCCAGGAGTTGCCGTCACCACCAGCTGCCCATCCCTGTGTCCTTGGCAGTTTGTGGCCAGGTTAGGTGTGCACCCTGGATTCTGTGAGGTGTCCTAAACCTTCCATTAGACCTCACTTGTTTTGGTCAGGGAACATCCTTTTCCATTCCTTAGAGGCTGAAGGAAACAAAGTCTTGCCTTTTGTTCCTGGAAGAACACAATTTTGTGTGGGGGTTGGGGAGGAGTGTGGTCTGTATGGCTGCTGGGGCAGCTTTGATGAGGCTGGTTTTGAGCACCTTGTGGTGGTGAGTCTTTTTGATGAGAATATTTCCAAAATAGCTTCTTATTCTCTGGTTTTACAGGGAAGTGGTTTTTTGGTTTGGTTTTGTTTTTTGGTTAAATTGTTTTAGTGAATACCCAAAGTAGAATTGTTTGGAGAAACAACATCAGCACAAAATAGAATTGAAAAACTGGCTTTGAAGTTACTCTGACTGTTTTCAGAAATTCTTGCAAATGTAATTTGGGTACCTGGAGCCCCTCTGCATCATCAGGCACCCCCAGGGGGGACAGGGACTTAGTCAACTTCTCCTCCTGTAGCCCGGGCCTTCCCGGAAGTAGTGGCTGAGGCTGAGTCAGGCCAGGAGGGCTGGGCGGAGGTGAGCCCTGGCCGTTTTCGGGGCGGGGGGCCAGGGGGGCCTGCATTCCAGGGACTAATGAGGTTGACACTGGCAAAAATCCCTTTTCTTCTCGTTTTTTAATGTCTGGGGTTCATGATCTCTCAGCTCTTTTGTGAGTTAGGGAAAAAACCTCTTTGTACAACATAGGAAACATTTTGATGCCAGACTGCAGTAAATGTTGGCCATTAAGGTATAGTTTTTTCAATTAAATCTTTGCAGGTACCTATAATAAAACTCACAGACCAGGAGACTGAAGTTAAAGTCGACATCAGCTTTAACATGGAGACCGGGGTCCGGGCCGCAGAGCTCATCAAGAATTACATGAAGGTGCTGCCGTCGGCGAGCTAGGACTGTCAAAACGGGGGACCGGTTATGTTGGGCATCTTACGGAACTTTATCCTGAATGATAGTCTTTAATGATAAAGACTGTACAGTTGAATTATTTATTCTACAATATTATTTCTAGAGATACTTGGAAATTAATATAGCTGTTTTGTAGATTTACTTTCCTATTGTGTTGAGTGTTATTTTAGAGAGCTTTGTGAAAATGTTTTCTCATGATTACAAAATGACTATCCCTGGAGCTTAGCGTGCCTGATGTGCGAGTTTAGTTTATTGGAAGTAGAATACATCATGATACAGTTTGCTTACTTTGGATCGTCTCAGTGCCTAACGATGGGCTAGCAGACTTGTTTCTTGAGCTGACCAGGTGTGTGGTCTAGTTAAACAGATGGTCTTTCCCTCCTATTTTAGGGAAAGGGGTGAAATCCTTTATAGAGGCAACCCCAGCATCGTAATCTGGATACTGCCTCTTCCCACAGGTTCAGGGACCTTGTTCCTTCAGTTTTTTTTCCCTTAACTCTGCAGCAGCAGGCTTGTCTGCCTTGACTGCTTCCCTTAACTTCTGTGCCCAGGAGAACATGATAACAGAGAAGCTTCCACTGTCCCTGCACCCTCTTCTCCAGCCTCTCTCCGTTTCCTTGTTACCTTCACCCTGCTTGCCCTGTTCTTCTGCTCTTGTCTTCCTGCCTCGTGAGCTGCCCTCCCCCTGACTCCTCCTTCCGCGGGGGCCTCCGGGCCTTGGAGTTTTGCACATCAGTTTCAGGACCTTCCTGGCTGCATCCCCTCCTCTCCTTCCTGCCCCCAACCTGCACCTGTCGTGGAGCAAGCTAGACCAATGGGAATAATTGGAAGGAACACACTCACTCATTCTCCCTGAGCTCTTCTTTCTTGGAGGAGCTGCTCCAAACTCATACCTGCAGAACCATGACCTGGGATGTGGCTCCCAATGGGGATCTTAGCAAGCCCCTCACATAATTAATTCTTAGGCCCCTAAAAATGGAGGATGATTGGCCTAGAGCCTTCCAAGTGACAAGAGGATTGAGTAAGCTTTTCTTTCTACTATGTGAAATTTGCTATGTGACAAATCTTTAAAGGTATATTAACTAATTTTTTTTTTTGAATTTACAGAAATATTCATTGCTGCCTTACTTGATTTTAGTATTGAAACAGTTCCTCCTGCAGAGGGACCTGAATGAAGTTTTTACAGGTGGAATTAGCTCCTACAGCCTAATTTTAATGGCCATTAGCTTTCTACAGGTGAGTGTGCGTTCTCTCTAGAGACTTACATAGGAGCACATTCTCCCTTGATGTTGTGAAGCCATTGCTTTGTGGATTCCAGCCGCCCTTGCTCTCCCTACACTCTTCTGCTTTGGTTTAGTAGAAATTGACTTCTGATTGTCATAATAAAACCATTTTGATTAATACTTCTTTCCTTTTTCTCCTTTATAGCTCATTTTTGTGGTTGATTGAATGGTTTGAGGGAGGGCGGTCTATCCTGGTCCCATCCATCAGGTGTAGGTCAGTCTGGACTTGAGGACCCCATCCATGTAGAGACTTTCATGCCTTGATGGACAAAAAGCTGATTTTCTTGGTTATTGACTGTGATTTATGAAAAATTTGTCTCAGAAAAAAAAATTGGGAACCATATATGGTAAAAAAAATTGAAGAGAGAGCCTTCTTAGATTGACAAGACATAAATATTTTGTTCTAAATTTTATGTTGCTCTTATTTTGTTGAGTACCGTGGAATAATCTGTCAATAGAAAACCTACCTATACGTGTTAAAGGCAGTGATGTTGATACTTATTTAACGTATAAAATAGTTTTATTTAACATATAAACTTATTTATATGTTATTTATTTAACATATAAAATAGTTTGAGTTAATGGAAACATTAATATTTTCGTGAATGAAGGATACTGTGTTCTTCACAAAATCTTTCCTGTATATTCTGGCTGTTCCTCCATGTTTATCATTAATTATTTATTTGTGATTGTGCTTATTAGGCTTTTATATCCAAAATTTGGCCATTTTTCTCATTAATATGGCTGATGGAAGTAGTGGTTACACCACCTTTCATTATTTTGACTTCCATGGCACATCTTTGCCAGAGATACTTGAAGAATAGTGAAAACGGAATCCCACACCTGTTTTCTTACAGTTTAATCACATTGCTTTGCTGTCCACATTTTCTCTGATGCTACCCTTGGAGTCATTTTCCCTAGTTTTTGGACATTATTTTGAACTAAATACAACCTGCTGCTCTTGACTTATTGCCTCATGTCTTTCCTGATTTGAACTATTTCAGTAGGCTTATTATCATGCCTGCTATTTGTTTTTATGGTGCCGGGCACTGGGCTCGGCACCTCCTGCCCCCTTACTCCGTGGGGTCCTGGCAGCAGTCCGGTGACCCCAGGAAGGTCACACACAGAGTCGATGGCTGGCCACGCCCTTTGGCGCCTTGCCCATCCTGCCTCAAAGCTGAGCCTCTCGTGGCGTCGGAGTGCCTTTCTTGCCCCCCGGAGGTCCGAGGGCCCAGCCTTGCACCGGCTAGCTCTCAGGTGTTTGACTTTGTGGAAGGCAGAGATGAGACCGTGCTCTTGTGCCTCTCTAGCATGGGCAGATCCTCAGAAGCCAAGTGCTGGTGAGCCCTCGAAAGGCTCCTGAGTGTCAGGAGATGCCTCTCCTCGGGGAGTCGTGTGTTCTCAGTTTTTAGCCCTCCTGCTTCTGTCAGGAACTGTGCTTTCCCTTGGACGTGACCGTCAGGATGCAGAACGGCGCCGTTCCTTAGAACTTCCTGCTCAGCTGGCCTGCTCACGGTCCGCATAGGCCGGCAGGGGGGCCCCAAGCCACACATGTCGACTGAGCACTTGCCTTATGCCAGCAGACTAAGTTCTTAATGAATTTGTTTTCATTAAGTAGAAATAGCCACCTATGGCTGGTGGCTGTCCTCACGGGCCGCGCAGGTCTGCACTGAGCCTCTTTGATTGGGAGGGTGTCAGTAGACAGCAGCTGAGGTTCAGTACGGGCCCATTCCCTGCTTGAAAGAAACGTGGCGCTGAACCGAGGCTGGTACTAATCGGTGTGACAAGCAGGGATGTAAATTTGGTGTAAACATTATGACACAATACTAATCACCTGTACACAGTTAAAATTATCTTTCCACAGTCCGTTCTGTCATACTATTCGGTCTGATACTGCCCTCTATGGGTTGTCTTTTGGAATAATGGGACTAAGGTTAGAATCTGTAACATGACGTTCACCATCTAGATGACTCTGAGTTGTGGAGAATATGGTCTACTTATTGGGCAGTTATTGGTAACTTGAGGTTAATCAGATGTCTGTGTTAGTGGGAAGACCCTCTATGGGTTATGAATTTCAGAGAATTAAAGTATAATAAAAAATTCAGTTTAGAAGGTTTTATTTCTTTTGAACACTCTGTATTGACAAAGGCTATACAGGCTCTGTTGGTGCCCCCCCCCCCCCCCCTGGAGCATCCTCCTGGAGTTGGTGCGTGAGCAGCTGTCACTGATAGTGTGTCCTTGGAGAGACCACGAGGTAGCGGACTTCGTTGCATGCGGTCTTCTGTAGAAAATGACTTGAATCCAAATGGTGGATCTGTTGCATTTACAGTTGCATCCGAGAATTGATGCCCGGAGAGCTGATGAAAACCTTGGAATGCTTCTTGTAGAATTTTTTGAACTCTACGGAAGAAATTTTAATTACTTGAAAACTGGTATTAGAATAAAAGAAGGAGGTGCCTATATCGCCAAAGAAGAGATCATGAAAGCCATGACCAGTGGGTACAGACCATCAATGCTATGCATTGAGGACCCTCTGCTACCTGGTAAGTGCCTTGCTCCTCACTGGCCGTGAGCCTGGGGCGTGGCTGGCGCCCGGAGTAAGGGGTGGGGGGGGGCTTCTGCAGCCCCTGCAGCCAAGGGTGGCTCCTCTGTCCTGACAGGTAATGGGGACACCTTCAGAAGTCTGTCTTTAATGCCATCTAATTCACTTCTTATAAAATTGGAATGTGTTTACATGCTGTAATTGACCAGATAAATGTAGAAAGTGAAAATTAAGGAAAAAAAGTTTATGTTTTCTGATTGGGAAAGTATTTGTTACATATTTATCACAAATCATTCACTTCCAAGAAGTATGTCACATAGAAAAGCAAAGTATGCCACAACCCCCTTCCATTCTGGTGTGTATTTCTCCATTTTTTTCCTACACGGATATTAATATTTATTGCAAGCTTGTTAACTAAGGGGATCACGTAATTCAAACTGTTTTGCGACTTGTGTTTTTAATTAACAAATCCTAGAACCCTTCCCTGTGTGTATAAGGTGTGTTCCAATGTGAGGATTGCTGCGTTGACCATCCGAGGTGGTGTCCGGTTTCCCCGGTTTTACTCCCTTGAGCATAGTGAAGGGTGCTTGTTCCTCCTTGTTAGGGACAATCTGATCTCTGCCGATCTGATGGAACATGCAACTTACATGTGCACTGAGTTTGCATTTCTTTAATGATGAGTGAGGTGAAGTATCGATTCCACAAATGTTTATTGAGCATCTATTAGATGAGACACTGTTGTTACCGTTGGTGATAAAAGTCAGTGACGGACAGGTGACAGAAAAGGTGGTGGAGAATGTCCGCTCCAGGTACACTGCCCTGTCTTCCTGTTAGGCACGTTCACGTGCTTTGTCCATCTGTCTGCCGGGCTGTGTTCCTAGTGACTTTGTGAGATCCTGCCTCTTCTTTGTCATCATGCTGTACTTTTTTTTCTCCCTAGTTTGTCCCTTTGCATCTGTATTTGGTGTCTTTTGTTACTCAGTTCCTATATATTTTTTAATGTCCTCAAATTTAATGATTTTTTGTTTGTTTCGTTTCATGGCTTCTGGAGTGTGAAATTCACTTCTTAAAAACCCTGTGACAGGAAGCCTGCTGACTGTTCTGTTGTTTACATATGACAGGACTGATGGCATGCTTTTTCAGTATGGCTTTTCCCAGCAGCAGAGGAACATGTTTTCACATCTGTTTGTGTTCGATCAGTTAAATTGCAGGGATTTCCAGTGTCTTTGATGTCTGTTTAAATGTACTTGAAATGAAAGCCTGCATTATCGCTGGATATATTATCCAACTTGAAAAAGAAAATTCCAATACTTAGAATGGCTCCTAAAACATACTGCTTACTTGCATTGTGAAGAATGAGTACATGTGAATTAAAACTCCCAAACTGTGCTGTTACTAAAAGTTAAGTTCCTTGACTGTGGCTCACTTGGTGACTTCATTGATGGTTTCATCTGATCTGCCACCGTCTGGTCCTTAAAACTGGAGAGGGGAGACCTGGCACTTTCTACCCTGAAGGACTTGCTTCCTGCAGGTCCCGCGGGTGCTGACTGAACTGCGGCGTGCCTGGTCCGGGTGCCCGCCACCGCGCATGCTCTGTCAGCATGGCTGCGGTCTGACTGAAGCTGCTGCCTCGGCTCTGTGGGGTGGGTGCCACCTGGGGAGTCGCTGGACTTCTTCGTGGACTGTCACTCTGTCTCTGTGAATGACATCTCATGGAGGTGGACCCAGATCTGAGGCTGCAGGTCAGGCCCTTCGGCCCGTGCCTGTTGTGGGATGGGCGCGGGTGATGAGCAGTGTGCTTGCACGCGCCCGCTGTGGCTCTGCTGGTGTGGTCCGGGAGTGTGTCCGTGGTGAGGGCCCGCTGCGGAAGAACTGACGTGACACGATCACGCGTGTCTGGATAAAGGGCCCGCTGTTGGCAGGGTCCTACAGCCACCTTTCTGTTTCAGGAAACGATGTTGGCCGCAGTTCGTACGGGGCCATGCAGGTGAAGCAGGTGTTTGACTACGCCTACATTGTTCTCAGTCACGCCGTGTCGCCCCTCGCGAGGTCCTATCCCAACAGAGACTCTGAAAGGTAACACAAGTCACGCGTCACTGTCCTGGGCTCACGGCCTTGGCCTGGCAGCTCCCTGCGGCAGGCACCGCTGGCCTCTGTCCTTGGCTTCCGTGAGGTTTCTTAATGGGTATGCCGGTGCAGTCTAGTAGAACTTGAAATTATCTGTGAGGAGGACCACATTGGGTTCATCCGTGGCTGAGCACTATGAAAATTTCTTATTTGGGGAGTTGACAGTTTCTTCAGGGCATTTTATTTTGGGGAACTGATTTCTGGCCTTTTCACACTTTGGAATGTGATGCTTTCTCTTTAGGCTGTCCTCAAAATGCACATGCTGAGCTCGAAGGGAGTGTGCATGGGGGTCCACGGGCCTCCCCCCTCCCTCTCTTCTGCAAACTCACCCCTCATTCTGCATTTCAGCACACTTTTGCAGTGTACACTTTTACTGGTAGAGAGAAATACTTACTGAGTGGATGGGAGGTGGTGGGATTGGGGGCGGAGGGAGGGAGTGAGGGGCAGGGGAAGGGAAGAACAGTGCTGCAGCCCGGGGATTCCGAGGTCTGGCGCTCGGGCTGATGGGCTCGCCGTGGGTTCTGTGCCTCTGCCCGCTCACGGTGCTTTCCGGCAGGGCTTTGGGCCTGTGCTGGGTGCTTAGAGTCTTGGTACCGTCTGCTTGTGCCAGACCTTCGTGAGTGCTGGGCCAGGGCAGGGGCACTCCCCTGCTTAGGCACTGGGTTGAAACAGTCTTTTGTAGTAGCTAGCTGCAGGTTCAAGGGTGTCTACGTAAGTGAACTCACTTTTTCTATACTGTGATCTCAGAGCACGTTTGGGCTCAAGCATTGGAAATCATAACACAATTCATAAAATTATTTTAGCTTTCTTCCTCTGTCTTTCACTTGGCAAAGTGATATGTTGTTAAAAATATAAAATCGCTAGTCTGCAGGGTTTGTGGCCTCCGACGTCACTCTGCAGTACACTGATTCCCCGTGGTGTCCCTTTTCAGTACTCTAGGAAGAATCATCAAAGTGACTCAGGAAGTGATCGACTACCGGAGGTGGATCAAGGAGAAGTGGGGCGGCAAGGCCCCCCCGGCGCCCGAGCTTGGTGAGAGCTCGTCCGGTCACGTTACTCTTAAACTTCTGACGCCTTGAAGCAGGAGTGTCTCTTTGTCCCTCGGTGCTAATTGTTCCCACTGAGGAAACACCTCATTTTCTGTAAGAGTTTACAGCGGTGAGATTTAGGTCAGCAGGAATACAATGCATGCCACACACGGACCTTTAAAGTTTCTTCTAGTAAGTGCATTAAAAATGTGAAAAGAAACAGGTGAAGTTCCATTTATTTATTTATTTTTTAAAAGATTTTATTTATTTGACAGAGAGACAGTGAGAGAGGGAACACAAGCAGGGGGAGTGGGAGAGGGAGAAGCAGGCTTCCCGCCGAGCAGGGAGCCTGACGCGGGGCTCGATCCCAGGACCCTGGGATCGTGACCTGAGCCAAAGACAGATGCTTAACCGACTGAGCCACCCAGGCGCCCTTGAAGTTCCATTTAATAATGTACTTTATTCAACGTAGTATTTATAGTAACATTTCATCATGTAATCAGTATAAATAGTCTCGGAGAGATTCTGGCCCCGGGCTGGTGCTGTACCCTTGAGACCCGGTGGGTACCGGCAGCTCACCCTGCCCCAGCCTCCCCGGAGACGCGCGCTTTGTGTTTAGATTCTGTAAGATTTACAGTAGAAACCTGTTACACATCCAAGTCGTTCCAGACATATTTTAATGTTGTCCAGTAACTGAAACCATAATTTAAAAAAATTAAGTAAATTAAGTAAAATGAGAAATTAGTTTGTGAGTCTCGTTAGCAACATGTCAAGGCTGGGTGGCACCTGTGGCTGGAGGCTGTGTGGTGGGGTGTGAGCTTCCGTCCTCTTACTAAGTGGCTCAGCTGGGCTGTGTTGCTCCCACAGACAACAGAATTAAGATAAAGGAGCGAATAAATTCATGTGATGGGGATCCGCCCCAGCGCCGAGACCCGGAGTCCCCCTACAGCCAGCGCCTGACCTTGTCTCTGCCCAGCCCCCAACTACTCTCGTCCGGCTCGTCCGCCTCCTCTGTGTCTTCGCTTTCCGGGAGTGACATTGTGAGTGTGCCTGCAGGGGATCGTCTGTGGCGGGGTGTTTAGCCTCCGCCAGTCCGGGATTCCTCTCCCTTCCGTGTGTGTCTGTGCCGCCACCCCAAGATGGCCCCGAGGGGTCCCCGCTCTGCCACGAGCCTCCGCCGGCAGTCGGGGACCCCAGCCCTGCCGCTCATGGCCCAGCTGTAGCGGACCTCCTCGAAAGCGTTTTAGACGCTTGTGTGGGGAGGAAACATTTAAGTGAGGTGTCTGTCCCGTGTGACCGGAACGTTCTTTGGTTCTGAGAGGACTTGAAGGGAGGGCGGGCGGCTCGGCAGATCGGGCCGTTGCGCTCGAGCCCATCTGTGGCTGGCCGCGCCGCGGGTCCTGCTTCCATCGCCGAGAAGCGGTGTGCCTCTCTACGGCCATCCCTGTTGTCTTTTCTACATAGGATTCGGACACGCCGCCCTGCACAACGCCCAACGTTTACCAGTTCAGTCTGCAGGCACCTACTCCTTTGCTGGCCAGCCTACCCACCGCCTTGCCCGTGCCGAGCGGCAAAGCTCAGTCCGCTCCTTCCAGAACGTTGGTCATGACGACTAACACTCAGGTATGCAGCGGGTTGGCACCCTTCCCACAGCCGGGCCCCTGGGAACCACGTCTGAGCTGCTGCAGGTACTCTAGCAGCGGCTGGCACTTTGGAATTAGAAACAGGTCTTCGGAAGTCTCTGGAAGGTACATTTCTATCTTGTAGGACATCCTTGTCCTTTGTGGACGGATAGAATGTAACTCCTGTCATTCTATAGAAGACCGTGTCCTCGGGGCCTACCCTGTGTGATATGTGCAGCACGGGGACTCCTGGCCATCGAGCACCGAGGGGGCTTTAGATAACAAGGTCCAGGTTGAGCGTCTGTCTGTAAATGAGTGACACCCAGCCTGAGACTGTGGTCCTGGGCCTGCGTCAGTTGGACTCTGGTGCTTACCGCCCCCTGGGCGCGGAGGGACCACCATCCCTGCTTCCTCTCCGAATCACCCCATTTACGCTCTTAAGAAGTTTTAGTATGAACTTTGACTTTCTCACGTTATTTTTAGGCAGTATTTATAGAGCTTTTTCTGTTAGAATATGTCCTCCGTTGGTTGTTCTTTTAGTTTAGATGAAATTAGAAGCCTGAAAGATAATTTCAAAAATATACAGTTTGGTATCCATTTGACAGTTATACACAACTGAACACGTATTTGTAAAAACCCGTCGCATTAATTCCGCTTTAAAGGAAGGTCCTCTCTGCAGTGAGGGCTGTGATTTGAGCATAGAGACGTGGGCACGTGCAGACACGTGGACTCATCTGTCTGTCGTCTGGCTCTCTGCCCCGGGCCATGGGGAGGGTGGAGCGCAGTGCGCCCCTGTCACGTCCTGGCGACAATGGCAGGCAGAACAGCCCCACCAGACACTTGTGGGTCCTGCCTGAGGGCACGATGCTGACGCACTTGGCTGCAGTGTCCCCCAATCCGTCATTGGTCCTAACCTCACCCAGGGGCTCAGGTCCCCTGAGAGCCAGTGTGGCCGCCACGCAGTGGTCCAGCTGATGCTGTGTGTGTGGTTCTGGCAGGAAGCCCAGGATGTTCTGGGGACAGGTCGCAGGCCGCTGCTGGTGCCCTGGTCTCGTCTGTTCACTTTGCTAACAGAAGTGGAGGCTGAAGCTAAGATCGTTCACATTTTAAGCCAAGGCTCGAGGCCCACTTTCTTGTTTTATTTCTAAACTGCAAACCTGACTTCTACTGGAGCAACTCAGTAACCCCCTGTACACATCATGAGCACTCTCTCCAGGGAAGCTCACGGGCTGATGAAGTGCCCCGCTCGGGATGAAGTGGGCCCTGAGAGCCGGGGATGTGAGTCTGGCAGACCCCGGTGACGCGTGCCCCCGGGGGAGCACAGGCCCCACTGAGGAGAGGGTCTTGAGTGTGCTCCAGCCCCCGGTGGGGACCTCTGGTAAAGCGTAAGGAAGGCTCTGCATGTGCTCTGGAGCACCATCTGGGAGACCCCAGCTCCTGTTCCATCCACTGCCTCGGGGTGGGGGACCACAGTTAGTCTCCAGTGGGGCAGATGCATAGGATTCCTAGATGTGAGCAGTGCAGTTCTTGGAGGTCTGAGAGAGGTTCCCATCGGCACCCCTGTGATGCAGAAATACAAGTAGTCCAGGGACCAGAGGGGCAGGGGGAGCAGGGAGGAGGCCAGCCTTCCCCAGCACACCTCTGCGGGCCAGCATCCCTCCACAGGCCATCGCTTGGACCAGCGTCAGGCCTCCCATCCTGGGTCGAAGGACAGGTGTTACGCTGAGGACAGATCTGTTGAGTTGTTGCTTCGTCTTCAACGAATAACGAGATTTTATGACTTGGGTTACTGGGCATACTTTCTATTGTAGTTGCCATTTCAGAATGTAGAATATTTCTGATGCAAAACAAATCCTGTCGGGTTATAGTAAAACACAAACTATGTGAATGAGCCTATTTGCAAATGGCTGTTCCAAAGCAGCGCCCTCCCTTCTCGGGCTCAGCACGAGAACTGGTGACCTCTGTCGGCCTGGTGCCTCATGGAAGTCTCTGGTCGGTGTGTTCCTAGACCAGGTTTACGATACCTCCACCGACCCTGGGGGCGGCCCCCGTCCCGTGCAGACAAGTTGGCGTTGAAGGAACTCCGGCGTTGAAAGCTGTTCATCACATGTCTTCCGCGGCCATTCCGTCCGCATCTCCCAACCCGCTCTCGAGCCCTCACCTGTATCACAAGGTAGGCCTCCCCCCTGGCCTGGGCCCGGTGCCCGGAGCCCAGGGCTTCCTGCTCTTTCCGCCAGAGACAGGGTTCCACAGGGTTGTGGTTTAAAACGGAATTTCTTTTCTCATCATTCAGCTTCATGTTTGCTTTTCTTTGTGGTGACTGAAACTTTAAAAGTGTTATTTTCAAATATAATATAGTTTAAGCATCTGTCTTCATTCTTTCATTGAACTTGTTAGCATAAAACTGAAGTTGGAAATAAGGTTCAAAGTGAAAAATATTTTGTTTCCCATTTATCTGTTGAATTAATTTATATGCCAAATACTTTGGTTTTCAAGAACCAGATGATACCATCAGGAACGGATGCCGGTGTGACCTGGGGCAGAGGGGGGCCTGCATGGGGTTTGCTTTCTCGGTTCCAGTGGGGTCCCTGTGAATGCGCTGGTCGGTGCCCCTGTGGCTTCTCTTAAGTCCAGATTCCGTACGCGAGAAACTGTTCGGTGGTAGGAAAGCAGGTCGGTATTCATTCCCTGTGCCCTTGTAGGGCTGGAATGTTTCTGAGGGCTGTGACGGACGTCTGCCTATAGGGGTCAAGGTGCAGTGTCTGAAGGCAGGTGTTTTCCCTTGGGCTCTGGCGATATCGGGGACACCCCCCTCGATGACTCCAGTCAGCTCCTCTGTTGCTTATCTGATCATATTTTGCCAGTAAATTTTCAGTGCTTAAGGGTTGGTTCTCTGAAGCTGCGTCATTAAGGTCGGATTGTTATATTTATTTGGAGCTATGTAATAGAGAGTTTCTCCTTGGGGTCACCCCTCCAGGCATGATGGGGTCTTCTGTGCACTCCAGGTGTCTCACGTTGGCCTGCCGGAAGTACTCACGGGGGAGCGATGACTTCTCGAAGGGGAAAGCACCTCATTAATCGCATTTTGGCTTTCCCTCTCAGTCCCCCTGTGCTGCTTGTTTGCATGCTTCCTGAAAGTGGCTGTGTTTTCTGCTGGCCTGCCTCACGTGGGGCTGTGGGCACAGGAGCCCCGGCGCGTACAGCGTCCTCCCCAGCCCCTGGGAGCTCGAGCGCCAGCCTGCTGGGCCATGGAACTCCTGCGTGTGTTTGCAGAACGTCACAGCTGCGGTGGGGGAAAGAAAACCAGGGCCCCTCTTTGTTCGTGGATGCACAGACCAGTTAGAAGTGTGATGCTCATGTCTTCGGATGTGAATGTGCGTGTGTGTGCGTGCGTGCTCTGATCCGGGCGGGGGGCGTGGTCCTGTCCGTCTCCCAGGTGTAGTGGTCACTGTGACACGGAAGCATGGCTCTCTCTGCTCCTTCCTGCTCACGGTCACGTGGACGCTGCACGTGGCAGTGTCGTGCAGCCTTTGTGCGCTTTCACTGTCCTCGGGCCCGGTCTCCAGTGGGGGCGTGGCGTGCTGCCCCCGACTGGGCCCCACAGCAGCGGTGTCTGGGGTGTCCGGGGCAGCCTCCCACGTTGCATCCCTCTGTCTCTCCAGCAGCACAGCGGCATGAAGCTGTCCATGAAAGGCTCGCACAGCCACAGCCAGCCTGGCACGTACAGCTCTGTGGGCAGTGGAGGCGTGCGGCCCCCCGTGGGCAACCGGGGACACCACCAGTACAACCGCACCGGCTGGAGGAGGAAAAAACACACACATACGAGGGACAGCCTGCCCGTCAGCCTGAGCAGATAATAGCCCCTGATGGCGCCTCCCGGCCCCCCCCTGCTCTTGCACAGACTCGCGCCGGGTGGCCTCGGCGCCCAGCCCGGAACTGAGACCAGCATCCAGCACGTCGGCCTGGGCCCCGCGGACCGCCCGCCGCTGATCACTCTGCATGTTCCTTGTGTGGTGGTCACGTCCATCTTCAAGAACAGCTCCTTGTGCTCATCTGTGAAGCCTTATTAAACGTGGACGCTGTGTCTGCCTTCCTGGGATTCTTCCCTCCAGTGCCAGACGGAGCAGGTCCGCACCGGGCACTGCGGGGGCAGACGGGACGCCGGCCGTGGCGCCTCTCGGCAGCCCGTCTGGTCCTTCGCGGTTGGGGTGTTTTCGTGGCATGTCTGCCAGAGCAACAGAGATCAGCCCCCGTTCTCGTTCCTTCCCCAGCGGGTAGGGTTGGGAGGTCGCCATTGTGTCACTGCCCTCACCTTTTGTTTCAAATTTCAGAACTGTTTTTCTATGTAAATATTGAAAACTTATGATTTGTGCAATAACTCAGATATTTTTATTTAATTCATATTTTCACATAAGTTATATTTAAGGGAGGAGGTTTTTTAAACAAGCTTAGGTCCTTTCCCGAGTCGCATTTTCTAAGTTGGGTTCATCGTGTCGGCTGGTTGTCTGAGGAGCACTGCTACCAACACCGTGATTGAGGGGCTCGGGGTTTCTTTTTGTGTTTTCCTTTGGGTCAGACACGAGGCCTCTTCGTCCGTGGCGGGGGAGCCGAGCGGCCCCGCGCTTCCCTGCAGGGGCTCGGCTCCTGAGCCTCCTGACCAGCTGCCCGCCGGCCCTGCCGTCCGGCCTGTTGTCTCGCTCTGACCGCAGAGCTTTAATGTTTTGGTTTTCGGTTCTTTTAAAGTAGACAACAAATCCAGCATTTAAAGTGCCAGAAGTAAAACTTTCTAAGGGGAGAAAGGGTTGTCACGTTATAAAATCTTAAAAAAAAAAAAAAAAAAAAACTCTGAAGTGCTTCAGTCCGTTTTAGTCACATAGCCTGTCAGGATGGGTCCGGTGAATATCAGTACGGACGAGGGCACCCAGTTTTAGGAATGTGGAGAAAGGAATTATGTTGATTCCGTGGAGGAATCTGTATAGCGGTATGCATTCGTTCTGTTAAGAGCAAATCTACGAGAAGTACTTGAGCTGCTCAGTGCACCGTGGGGAGTGTTTGTGACGCATCGCAGGAGAGCCCGGCGCGGGGTGGGGCCGGAGCAGCAGGCGCCCCACTTGAGAAGCATCCAGGTATACTATGCAAGTGCTGTCCGCCATGGCAACCTCTGTCCTACACCCATCCTGCCTATCCCTGAGTTTTCGGAGCACCACAGTTGTCCTGGTGTTAGTTGCATCTCATAGGTCATCTGACCTCCCGTTTTTAAAATGGGGGGTTTTGGCCCTCCTGAACACTACAGGTAGGTTGGTCTTTGCAGTCCACTAGTGGAGAAGGTCGAGTCGAGAGACTGTCTTACCATGACACCTGATGGAAGTGCAGAGCGGGGAGCTCTGGAGTGCGGTCTGGGGGCGGTGTCCCGGCTGGGCCAGACCTCCAGTGTCCTCGGCCGTCCTCTGCCCCCAGGCCCTGGCCCCCCCGCCCAGCACTGTCGCGGCTGGCGGCCGCAGCTTCTCTGGGGGGCCTTCCAGAAGAGAGTAGCACATGTTGTCTGCAGTTCTTGATGATCGAAAGTTATCAAAAATATTTAAAGATATTTAAATTGTGAATCTATTGGTAAAGAAATATTTATAAAAACTGATAAGTAGGCCTGTACTAATCTCCACACATTAGCAATATTGACTGTCATCCTACATTTAGGAACCACTGCAGGGCGCGGGTCCCGTGGGGGGGTGCATTTTAAAGCTCGATTCACAGACACAGGCGCCATGCTCCATCCCCGTCATGGTGAACCGAATGAATTGGCCTGGCTACCACGGTGGTCATGCACTACAGGTTGAACAAAACGATATCATGTTTCGATTTTTTTGTGTGTGTGGACAACAATGTGGAAGCTAAAATTGACATATTTTTATGTAAAGTTTTTCTATTCTTTGATTTTTAATAAACTTTGGAAACCAGTTGGTGTTTGTGTTGGAGTGTGTTGCTTTCCTTTCCGGAGAATGGCAGCTTCTGCCATTTCGTATTCTTGAACTTTCTAAGTGGAGCAGTGAGAAATCAGGTTCTCATTGGTTCGGGAACTTCAGAATGCAGGTGAGGTTCCGGTGTCGTGTACAGAAGAACGGCAGCTGAAGCACAGTGTTCGCCCGTGTTCTGGGCCAGGGGCGGGGGGGGGGGCCTCGCACCGCTGACTAGCCCTGCACCGCATCCCACAAGCCAGGTGTGTGACCCTTGGCACCAGTGACACTTTCTGGGGAAACCATTCCTTCTACATCTCTCTTCCGTCGAAGTAGATCACTTTTTTTTTTTTTTTTTTTTAATTCTAGGGCAGGAGCAGGGGGAGGGGCAGAGGGAGAGGCCGGCTCCCAGGGAGCCTGGCATTGGGCTCCATCCCAGGATCCTGACCCTAAGAAGAACACATCCTAAACAGCCACACAATCAAAATGTAACTTAAAATGTAACCTATTAGAATTTTTAAGGAGGTATCTAAAAAGCCCTGCAGTGCAGTGAGTGACAGAATGACGTGTCTCGGCCTGCAGGGCACGGGGGGTGTGCTAGAATGCTCCACCCTGGAGCCTGGCACAGCCCTCATTCATCTCCTTCCACAAGGGTTTCTGGAAGGCTGCAAGCAGGTGCTGTCCCAAGGACACAAGGCCCTCTGCACACAGCGCCTATGTTCTGACAAGGCTGCAGAGGACCTCGGAAAGCAACTCACGTGCTCGATGTCAGTGCTGTGAGCAGTGGCTTGAGGCGGAGTGACAGGTGTGTCTATGGCTAAGATCACCGCAAAGGCCGTGGGCTGGCACACTGGTGGCACAACAAGGAGGCCCGACGGCTGGGAGCAGGTGCAGAAGCAGAGACTGGAGGGAGGGGAGCCGTGGCAGGAAGCCACAGGGTTTCTACATCCCTATGGCCACTCATTGGAGAACGGGCTGGAGGCAGGTGCTGAGGTGGCCCAGGTGAGCGGTGACCGCTGCGGGAGGGCCCTGGGCAGGTGGGATGGGGCCGGCAAGGCCATGCTGAGGGATAGGGGGGTGCGGGGAGGGCAATGGCCCTGGGCTCCCTCTGGGTTGCCGCCCGCAGCTCTCGGCACGATCCGCAGGAGCCCCGGGGAGGGGGAGACCCCCCCCACTGCTGGCCCAGGGCAGGTGAGAGGAGGCTGGGTTCCCTGGGGTTCCCTGGGCCTCCCTGGGCCGTGGAGAGGGGCCAGTGGCCGCTCACGGCGCACACCGTCCGTGCTACTCCGTTTCGGTTCGATCACTTGCAGGTCACCACAGTGATCCCCATTCCCCAGAAGTCATCGTATTCCGAATTCGCTCCCTTGTGGCCGGGTCTCTGTGACTTCCTCTTCACGTTGTGCAGCGTCGTGCCCCATCTTTATCCGTGTCCGAGGTACCTGGGGTTCCCATGCACAGCGTGTGGGGCCTGGGCTCCCAGCAGCAGGTGCACGCGGGAGGCGGTGACATCTGCAGCGCAGACACGCCCGCTCACGTGCACACGTCTTTGTGTCAGTCACCCTGTGATGATCCAACAAATTTTCACAAGGGCGTGTAGTGTATTCTCAGCTTTTCTAACTTGTGAAGTCCCTGTCAGTCCTTAGGTAGCTTAGATGACCAGGGGAAGCTGATCTAGGAAGGGGAGTGGCCAGCAGCCCCGAACATCCCACACTCGGGGCTAAATCTTACTAAGAATGGCTGGAAAACAGGTTTCGCTGTGGTGTTTCCATGGCTCCCCGGGGGTGGGGCAGTTCCTAGGTGATCTGTCACGAGGGCCCTTGGACAGAGCTGGTGGTGCCGACGCCCCGTAGTCTCCCAGCATAACTGGGTCCTGGAGCAGGGCAGGCCCATGACTTTGAGGCCCTGGCGTGAATTCCAGGCAAGGTCAATAAACGCGCCTTGGATTCTCACAGACGCTGTGCTCTCTGTCCATAACCTCTGACCCTGGACGTTTAAAGCACTGACAGTGTTAAAGGTCGTACAGAGGTGCTGTGGGTCACTTACAGGTTTGGGAGCAAGTGTGTAACGAGGCAGATTTGAGGCCTTCCTGCTGGTGTTTCCTGAAGTCCTGAGTGTCTTCGTGGTGATGGCTGTGGACAGCCGTGGCCAAAGCCAAGCCCATGCAGCAGGCGAGTCCTCAGCCCCGATGGAAGCATGAGGGAACTGTAAAGGTGGCAGGGCTCTGGAGCCCCACGGGGCCGCTCTGCCCAGTGTCTCGGGGCCGAGTGTGCAGCACCCCTGCCCCCACCTGGGACCAGAGTGATCGCGCATCCTGACTGCGGGGGCTGCTCTGGTTCTCCAGTGGTCTGGGAGCTGCTGCTCAGTTTGGGCAGGAAACCTCCACCTTCCATTGCTGTTGAGTCCTGTGAGCTTCCCATCTGTGGCCTGGTCCGTGGCTCCCCAGAACTCAGAAATTCTCCCGCGGCCACCATGGGGAGCGGAGAGCCACCTGGCTCAGCGGTTTAAGGGGTTAGGATAAAACCTCTTGGCTCACGAACTGTGGAGCTTTGCTGCTGGCCTTGGCTTTCATGGTCAGTGTTCACGGTTACGATACTGCTCCTTGGAAAGGCGGGTTCTGGAAAAGCACGCTGGGACTGCTTCAAACAGACTTTCTAGTCCCAACCGGGGAGTTGGTTTAGCTCCCTCCGGACTTGCCCTGCTTCTGCCCCTGGGCTTCGTTCAAGAGAGAGTCCTCGTGGTTCGACCCCTCAGCCTGCTGTTTCGGTTGCATTCTCCAGGCCAGACCCCACCCCTGCATCCACAGCCCTGCATGCAGGGTGACGGTGTGAGCGCTCAGTGGGCCAGCCCGGCTGCAGCACTGGGCCGGGACCATTCCACAGGGTGTGAGCTGATGACCTCAGGGCCTGGGCCGACCATGAGCACTGTGCACACCACCACCACCACCACCACGGTGCAGGGACCCTTCCCAGCCCCAGAGGAATAAGCTGAGGCACAGAGAGGGTAAACATCCTCTGCGGCTGTTGGAGAGAGACTCAGATGGGCAGGGTCCACAGT